GTAAAACCGGTCAACATTGATGATTTTGGGATACCCCCATTGATAGAACCCCTTCAATGACATATTTAATATATACATATATTTATTTACATATACATACATATCTGTAGACGTACATACATAGATACATATATATATATACATATACATATACATATATAATAAGTATGTGTGTATGTATTGATAGAACCCCTTCAATGACATATTTAACATATATATATATACACATAGACACATATATATATATACGTATCTGTAGACGTATAAATAAATAAATATATATATAGAAGTATGTGTGTACGTAATGTCATGTCATGTTGTGTAGTGCCATGCCATGCCATGCCATGCAATGCGATGCAACGCAACGCAATGCACGCCAACGCATTTAATGTAATGTAAAGTAATATAATGTAATGTAAGGTAATGTAATGTAATGTAATGTACCGTACTGTACTGAACTGTAATGTAATGTAATGTAATGCAGTGCAATGTAATGTAATGTACTGTACTGTAATGTCATGTCATGTAATGTATGTACGTACGTACGTATCCATCCTATTAATCTTATTAATCTATCTCTTTATCTATCTACCTATCTATCTGTCTGTCTGTTTGTTTGTCTATCTGTTTATCTATCTATCTGTCCAGCTATCTGATGCCATCTGGCTGTCTTTAGTCTACTATCTTTCTATTTTACTTTCTATCTATCTGTTAATCTATCCACCTTTCTATCTATCCATCCGTCCATACATATGTATATATCTATCTTTCTTTCTATCTATCATTCTATCTCTATGTCTACTTGTCCACTTTTCTACCTACCTAGCTATCTACATACCTTCGTACCTATCTATGTATATATCTATCTATGTATATACCGATCTATCTGTCTGTCTGTCTGTTTGTCTGCCCGTCCGACCGTCTGTCTGTCTATCTGCCTCGTTTGAGCGAGTCCTTTGCATACGTTGTTTCTTCTCTTTTCTGGTTTCTATATACCTGTTGTTTTATTTTCTTCCTTTTCTACTATTTTCCACTATTGGTTTTCAAACTGTTACTATACGTGGACATGAGGATCAATGGTGAAATATGTTTGGATGGGTTAAACTCGTCGAATAGATCTAGGGCTCTCTTTGTCCAGAAGCAAGAACCCCTGATATATTTCATCAAGACATTTGGGGTTCCATGCTCACTGGAACCATTCCTTTGTTACTGAAGTTCGACTTTTAAACTTTCTTCGATCGTTTGGAGATAGTTTTTAATGGGGGATGGCTTGTAATTAGGTTTTCTGCATCTGATTCATTGGGCCTTACAGGCTCTACAGATTTTGTTCTATTGTTTACAGCTAAGAACAATGAACTTGGTCATAAACACATTCGACCTTGAGCTTTGCTGAGAACAGAGAAAGAGTCTATTGGCCGCAATGCCAGGCCCTCTGAGCGAACACCAGTCCAGTCGCGAACTGTTGGCAGAGGACGCTGCTAGAATTCCAAAGCTTGCATGTCGCCAAGTAGGGGCAACATGGAGTAGCGTTTGGACCTCGCAGTAGCAAACAATTTCCTGAAATCTCGCCGTGTCGAGTTGATTCCCAATGCTGAGCAGTGCCATCACGCACCAACCCAATGTAGGAATTGCAAGCTCTTGTTGGAGAAGTCTCGACTCTGTGCTATCCTGAGTACACAGTATAAAGTTTAGCTCCTATGCTTCACTTCCAGAACGGCTCCCTAAGGGACCGGAGCCTCCTGTATATTGATTTTACATGGTTTCACATCACGGGTGTGAAGCGGTCTCGTTTATCGTTTTTTCTTTGCTGTGTCATGTCACATGCTGGAACTCACAGCCGAAACCACCTGTTGGATCAGATGTGGAGAGGTATACATGATCTTGCATGATTTTGTTCAAGCACATCCCTTTTTCATTTTCAAACGTTTCACCCCCACAGCGGCTCCCTTTAGGGACCGTAGCCTCGCGCACTTGAGATGTCGACTGAGACGGGCGTTGATGTCAAGGCAGTGCAGGAGGACAGTAGTGGTGGTGATACATGCCAAGCCGAGGACTACTTCGGGGCTGGCTGTGAAAGTCCAAATGATCAATGCCAAGAAGGGAACCTTGATAGCCTGGTGGTTGCCAGCCCACAAGGAGAAGTCAATGGCCAGGGCATGGACGATCAAGTACCTGCAACCCAGCAGAGTGCCATGGAGGAGGATTGCCCTGCCACCCAGCGCAATGGGGATAGCCCGGTGGCCAGATGCGATCGCCTCAACTATGAGTGCCGTCTGCCATCAGCTGATGATGAGCCCTTGCCCGATCCACTGGAAGGTATCAAAGAGACCTTGCGTGCAGTAACTACAACAGAGGCCTTGTCAGAAGTACTGGAGCCCGAAGATCTTTTCACCAATTGCCAGAACACCCATGTGCTGCAGACTACCATCATTGCAGCTTTGGAAGCAGTTTGTGAAACCAATCCTCGCAGCGTTGCTGATGTTGCCAATGATCCCCGGTTCGAGCTGCACCTGCAGTTGCCGAAGCCCATGTTCCAGGCCATTCGAGCCATCGGGAAAGCAGAAGGCTGGCCACTAGAAGCTTTGTGTCAAGGCCTCATGGCAGGTGTAGGCTGGTTGCACCATGAAGGCACACGGATTTCGATCCAACAGGAAGAAAACCATGGCAGGACCACAGCCATTCCTTCGTTCTTTGCCGCTCCTCCCAGCTGCCGCAAGACCTCTTTGCATCAGTTTCTCACAGATGATTTGTTGGGAGTTTCTGGCATTCCCAAGTATGCCAAAGCAAAGGAAGCTTTCTGCAACAGCGGGACCTTGCGAGGACATCGAAACAACCTGTACAACTTCGGAAGGACAGGTTTGGCAACCAGTGAAGTCACGGAGACGTACCGCACATCGAAAAGTGGAGACGGAGTCCCAGCGAGCCAGTTCGCTCAAAAGAGCAACATCAACAAGTGGTGCCACAGTGAGCCAGATCGCTCCATCACAGGCCAAATGAGGGATCAGCACGATGTGTATGCCTTCTACCACTTAGTCTACGGGCAGATAGGTCCGACCCTTGAAGTGCTCACAGGTTCGACTTCTGCCGACCTCGGCTTCCAGAAGCGCTTCAATGTGGTTTTCGAAACCCATGTCTGCCAGCAGTTTCCTTTGCAGATGAAAGACCACAGCAAGAACTTGCTGCGGTCTCTGATGCAATGGCTGGCTTCTCGCCTGCCTCCAGCTCAGCAGGAAGCTGCTGAGGAAAAGGATGCTGCAGAAGCAGCTGGACATGATTCCCATGGTCTCGGACCCTCTCGCATTGTGCTCAATGCTTTCGCCCGGAAGTGGATGCGCCAAGTTCTACAGGCCATCGATGAGTTCCAGGACATTCATCCAGACTTGGGGGCTGCTTGGCTTCAAAAGCTGGCTTACGCAGACACTGATGTGCTGCGTTGGGCAAATACGGTCAACAAATGCCGCGCCTACCTCGCAAGCTTGACGCGCATCCCTGTCAACCCTTACGAGAACATCATCGATGTCATTGACATTCAGTATGCTTTGCATGCTTGGCTCCGGCAGCTCCAATACTTCCAACTGCTCCAAAGTCCTCAGATGAAAGGCGCAGGCGAGGAGCACTCCACTCCCGATGCCGGTCTGCCAAACAAGCCAGATGCGGAAGAAACCATCATGCGGTGGATCATGACCGACGCAGGGGACAATACCAAAGTACAAACTTCAAAGGAGATGCGAGGCAAACTCAAGCACAAGCTGGCGAGACTCAATGGATGGAAGCGAAAAGATTCTCAGAAGCCAGCGCAAGAGGAGAAGAACCCGCGAGGCCAGCCAGTGCACCTGCTGCTGAACGCTATCAACAGGCTTCAGCATGTGCAGCTGATTGACGTGGTGGGCAGGCCCGCTGCTGAGAGTGGTGGGCATGAGGTCTTGAAATTTCAGAAGAGGAAGTGGACTGAGATTGCCCAGGACGCCACTGCTTGTGAGTGGATCAAAAAGCTCCGCCTGGGTCAAGAAAATTTCCCGTGATCTGACCTGAGAGACAATGGCAGCAACCGGGCTGATGTAGAATTTTGCGAGCCTTGGGTGAGTGTTCCGGCTGCTTTGGCCACAGTATCATAGGTCGCCCGCTCGCGGTCGCGTGTCATTTCTCTTTTGGACATGCGTAACTTTGTCTAGAGTCCAGAGAAGTTGGAGTTGGCTTATGGCTTTCTGGGGAAGGTCACTAGGCCGGCAAAAGCAAAAGGTCGGATTTGCGCATTGAGTCCTGCAGGTGGTGCATGCATGTGATCTTGCAAGCAGTGTTCATTTTCAATGCATGGGAGACGTTCAGTCATTTACTTCGGGTCTTGAGAGAATGGAATATATGATTGCTATACTTCATTTCTATTTTCTCAAGAGACATGTATGAGCCGCATTCTGAGGCTGCGAATCAACATGAAGCAGGCGCCTTTGACAAGATTATCTCAGATCGACGCCGGCTGAGTTTATCCAATAACAGCTGTTATTTCTTTTGGTTAGACCATGGATGATCAATGTCAAGCAACCTACACTTATTTACAATGATGCAGGGACTTGACCTTCTTTTTGCATCTCACGCGGCAACAGGAACTTGTTGAACTAGATCCGGTTGTCGCAGGGCGCCTCAGCTGTCCTGTCACGCTGTGGAGGGAAAGTGATTCTTACAAGTTTCCTGCTTTCTAGACGCGAAATTCCATCGATGCACTTCTATTTAGTTGCTTGCCCATGTTTTTCACATCCTAGAGCAGCAGTTAGTGATGTCTCATCCGAGTGATCGTATTTCTTACAAGTGTGATGGCTGCTCCATTTGCATTAGACAATGCAGCTGGTGCGCTTAAGAACAGCGGCTCCCAAAAGGGACCGCAGCCTCGCAACACGCAGGTCACGAAAGCCAAACACCTCTGTATGAATTTTGCTAATGCATTTGACGTCTTTATTTTGCATGGAAGGGTTCTCAGCTAAGACGCCGTTTCCTATACTTGAGCCATGGGAAAGCTCGCCGCTGGTCAGCTCCGCAGCCATGGCGGCCGCAGGCCTGGGGCAGGCCGCAAGAGAAAAAATCTGCAAGTAGCACGAGGAGCCCAGAGGAAACCACAACAAGTTCGCAAGCTGCTGGGACTTGACAGACCTGAATTCAAGACAAAGGCTTGGGATGCACGCAACCCTGTCACGTTCCTGACAGTGGCGACAATCGTTTTCTACCTGACACGCTACTTGATGGATAGCCACAAGGAAGTTGCCGTAGACTGGGCAGAGGTGGCAGTGGCATTTGGGAAGGCAGACAGACAACGCATGTATCACACTGCTGCTTGCACATTGGCCACTGCCCGCAACGGCATGAAGAAACTCAAAGTCCCTTCGTCGACCTGCAGGCTACAAAGTTTGAGGCCATGCTGCCATGCTTACATAGGCACCCACTGTTCGTTGCCAGAGATCATGTTTTGTAGCCGGATCCATCCATTGAAGCCCACTCTACTCGATCCTTTCACGGCAGCTACTGCGGCATGGTTACGAGAAGTGACAGGTGAGCAAAATAGGCGCGGATACATGACTGCCCCTGAGTGGATTACTTTGATAGCTTTTGGGAAGCTTCGGCAGCAGAGTGCGGTTACGCTCCTTTTACCTTCCCACTCAAACTATTTGGGTTTCCATTCCTTGGCTGAACCTTCCCAGATGGGAATATTCATCGCTGCTCAAGATTCCATCGCTTGGACCCAACAGCTCACGCAGGAAATGAGCAAGGTTGGAGGGCTCAATTCCACGAAAGCAAGCGTGTGCTTGGCAAACTTGTGGTCTCAGTTCTCAGATCCAACTATCTTTGTGAAGCTTCAGAGGACCAAGGACTATCACGGAATGGTGCAGGTGCTTCAGGAGTTGCCCGGGCATGGTCCTTTCATTGCCAAGAACATTGTGGAAACAGTGTTGAATGCCGTGCATCTCAGCGGCATTGCTGCCGGTGACATAGGGACAAATTTGAATGAAACCATAGAAGACTACTTGGCAGACCCTGTTGCAGTTCTTGGACCTGGTCCCTTAGCTCTGGGGAGGTTTTTTTTTGGCAAAGGGTTTGCAAACAGCGACTTTGAACACGTACGACGCTGCGTGAACCAGTTGTGCCAGGACGCCACAGTTTGTTACAAGGGCGCTTCCATTTCTCCCGGAGCTTTGACGGGTCCTCAAATGCAAGCTCTGTGGTGCAAGCTTAAGGGAACCATAGATGACTATTGCACCCAAACTTTGGGCCAGCATCTGAGGAGATGAAAGACCGTAATCCCACTTGGTAGACGCAGGCTAGCACGTGTGCTTGAGGCTTTGGATGCCATGGTCAGAGGCAAGGATTTTGTATGATTTTCAATGAGCCTAGGGCCTGGATATTTTATCAGGAAAGAGCGCGTCGTTCAGCGACCGAAAGTCTGCGCACTAGCATAGGAAGGAAAGCAAGGCCAAAACTCTCGCAAGAACACAAGGCTGTCCGCTGTTGGCCCTCATGGGTGTGCTACCGGTATCCTATCATACATTCTGGTCATTCATAATGTTTAGGTAGCTAGCTGGGTCCTGAGCTGCTGTCAGCTTTTCTTTGTTTTCCATCCAGCTTTGCTAAAAGGCATAATTTTTGTGTTTCGTCATGTGTTCAAATTTTCTGATCAAGAGGCTTGCATAAGTTTGCTGATCAGAGGCTGCGAGTCCAACTGCTGCGGGCATCTTTGACTACATCGAGGCAGGGTGAGTTTATCCTCTATCCGACGATTTTTTTTTTGCGAAGAAAGCGACCAAGAAATCTGCACAGCCGCTGCCGCCAATGAATTTGCATGCCTTCTGTTTGCAACACTCTGTTTTCATATTCGTGATTCTGCTCGTTGGTGTATATGCTCTGGCTCATATACTTAGGCAGGGCGGCTCCCACAGGGACCGCAACCAAATAAATCAACGAATGATCACGCAGGAAATTGCGTAATTATAAGTATATTACATGCTGCAACACACATGTTCTGAAGCATGGATCGGATCTGCCTCCGACAAAAAAAGAACGCATCAGTTTGCTGCATAGTTACCACGTCTTCAACCTTAATCATGTCGATGCCGCACGGCTTAGTGGTGCGCAGAGATTGGTTGCCACGCCTGCTGGCCGGAGAGGTTGCGTATGTAGTCAAAGCTTCAAAGACTATGCGAAGAGGAACGGTTTACTTGGTGGAAAGTGGCACTGGTCGAGTGGCCGCGGCAGCTACACTTACCGACGTACGGCAATTCAACAGCGCGGAGAAGGCCAGCCCAATTCTGCGAGAGGAGTGTGGTGAGCCTGCCTTGCACTTCGCTTATGGATGGTTTTTCTCTGATATCAAAGAAGACTCAGACGTCACGCCTGTGCCGTCTGCTGCTCGCAGCGGTCGCACGACGTGGCTGTCCCCGGAGATCATGGCTGGGCAAGTCCCAGCCCCCAAGCAACGTTCCACTGCTTCCAGGGGCGCTTGGCCGAAGAGATTTCCCCGAAAGCCCAGAAGCGACAAAAGGACAGGCGAGCTGCAGCCAAAGCTCAAGCTCAGAAAGGTGCCCAGAGCTTCAGGCAAGAAAAAGAGAGGAAGGACTTGCAGGCTGCCAGCCAATCACCCTGCTGCAGCCGTGCTCGGAGATGGCACCCGCGGTGGGGAACAAAGCCTAGCCTTTCGTTTAGCCGCCGGACGCACTTCCCGCCGGCTCTTGCATCTATCACAAATGCATTTGTTCCACCAACCAACCAGTGTGGATGAGCCCATCAAACCAGCAAGCGGTTTAGCAGCATATCGGGACGAACAATTAGTGTACATCCTCAGCACTTACAATGCCAGAGGCAAGCCCATGAGTGATGTTTTACCGCTCCATGCGACTACCAGTGGACAACATACAGCTTTAAGACGGCAGGTTCTAACTTGCCCGCAGACAGAGCTGCAGCTGGTTGGATGCAAGGTTTTGACACTAAGGAAGAAGAATGCACGGCGAGGGCGTCTGCAGTTTGACGTCATGGATGCTGTCACGGAGGTCACTAAGGAGCTGGCCTTTGCTTCGGATTTCAGTTCAGAACAATACTAAGATTCTGTCTTTTGTCCCCCTTTGTTTTGATCTGTCCAGAGGGTCTACACATGTCTTAGTTTCGATCGCAGGATGTGGAGGCAGTGCAGCGGACACCATTTGCAGCTTCACCCGCGGACTTGTTTTCTACAAAGACAGCATCAGGAAGCTGTAGCGCGGCTCCCCAAGGGACAGCAGACCAGTCTAGTTCTGAAAAGATGACCTTCCGCATTTGCCCGGCCGCAGCGGAGGCACACTCCAGGGAGACCCAGCATGAGGTCGTAGGCCAGGGGAGAGACGGAGCTTGCAAATACATTCTGGATCTACCACTGCCGCAGAACTTGGACGTGCGACCTTTTCGCTGTCGCACTTGCCTCAAGAACTTCAGCGTTCAAATGTCCGACATCAGGCGACATTTCCCAGACGTGCTGATCTCCCACCAAAAAAAAAGTCGCAAGGTCATGTTCTCTCCTCGCTTCTTGTTGTTGATCCTGGGGAAGTTTTCCGAAACCTTCAATGCAAATGCAGTCAAGAGATTTGTGCTCGATTTGTACTTAGCCAATTCCATCTACATCAACCGAGCTGACAAGGCGCTCTATGCAGTGGAATCATTGCCCCGCAAATTTGCCTTGCGCAGTATCCTGCGAGATGCCCTTTTGTCCTATTTGCCTGCTTTGGTTCGCCATGTGGAAAAACACGTGCATGTTTACAGTGGATCAGCCATTCGAGGTGACGGGCATTTCAAGCTTGCATCGCGCATCTTGCCCAAAGAGAGAATCAACGTGGTCTATGGTTGGATAGGCATTGACGGTGCTTTGCTCCGCCCACCAGCAGCAATGGCAGGAGAGACGTGGCCAGACATCAGGCCACACTTGGAAGAGTTGGTGGTTGACATCATCAGCCATCGGAAGGAAGCGGGTCTGCCGGGGAAGGCTTGCTGCCCTGCATTCCACGCCACCGATTCCTATGGCAAGCATCGCTTGAAATTAAGAAGTCTCTACAGCCGCTTGCTACCTGTTAGCCTCCGACCTGTTTCAAATACGCCAAAAGGACCCGCACAGTCCGTTGAAGCTGACGCGGAAGCATGTCCAACGCTGTGCCTGGCCCGATGTTTCTATCTATCTTTTTTTCTTTTGATATGTGCTTGCGCCTTTCCATCTTTCTTATCTCTGTACTTGCACCTTTCTATTTCTATTCTTTTTTAAAACATATCTGTGCCTGCATCTCTATCAGGATCACGGGCGACCCAGCTCACGATTGCTTTGCCCTGCGGCGCATCGTCTCCATCAAATCTGCTGATGCTGGGTCTTTCCTCTCTGCTCACAGGGACTTGATGGAGCGGCTAAGTTTACCAGTTCCTCCTAGCCCAGCATTTGCAAACTGGGACGGCGAGTTGCAGGAGTTGGCGGAGGACAGGGTTTTTAATTGATTTCAAGCTTGCGCCATGTGCATTTCACGGATGACAACTCTGTGCAGGTTTCTCCCTGTAATTTTGCAGATGCCCTGTGCGAAGGACGCAAAGCCCGATTTGGAGAAGATTGTGCTACAAGGATCTGGCGCTCTTCCCAAGTGTTGTGCAAGCTCTTTGCCGAAGATACAGGAATTTCTCCAGCAACCTTATGCTTCTGAAGCAAGAACATGGCGGGCCGTCTTCGCAAGACCACCCCCGCGTGCAGTGGTACAGGCTTGTCTCCGCAGCCTGACTACAGGCAGAGGGGCTCCCAAAGGGACCCAGACCAAGCTTGAAGCAAATCGATTGCATGAAACAATGCAGCGGTGGAATTACCGTTCCAAGAAGGAATTCAGGACGGAAGCTCGGAGAATTTTGCGGTGGTGGTCCCAACCTGTGCGGAGGGCACCCGTCTTTCGCAAACGGATTTTCCGAGATGGGCAGAAAAGGTATTGGGCCCGTCCGAGTACCGTGGTTACTAAAAAGGTGCGTGGCCATTTCAAGAAGATGACGAAGAAGCTTCGTATTGAAGGCTTCTTCAAATGGCAGCAGGCAGCCTTAGGAACCTTAGAAGCACAGATTCCTGTTCAATCAGGAACCATTCCTGTCGAAAGGTTTTGGTCGACTTTGTTGACGTACGTGCCCGAATCTGCTCAATACATCAGTTTGAAGTGGTACCAAGTCCTGGCATCATTGGCGTTCATCAAGTTCAACTTCCAGCATTTTGCTAGAACTTCCTTGGCAGGCGTCTCCGAGGAGGACGCCGACATCCAGTCCAAAATAGACACCGCCATGATGTTGGCTCGGGCCCTACATGAAAGCGAGACAGTTTGGACTGCCACTCATTTGCAGCCTGTCTTCGATCCTTTCCGGGAGTCATGCACTTAGAGACTCTGGAGTCATGCCGAATGCCAAGCTACGGAGCCTACCAGTTTGCCCAGCTGACACGAACTGTTTCATCCCTGCCAGCCAAGCTAGCACAGCGCGCCTCTTCTCCCTTGGAGGCAAGAAGGAAACTTTGCAGTCTAGTGGAAATATGGATCCCGACCGCCTGACCCGCTTGGTGGCTTTCCAAATGAATTCGCCAACTGTGTTAGCTTTCAGACAGCGTCAAAAGTCAAAAGGCCGTTGTCGATGTGGATTAGAGTCCAGCAAAAGCTGCACCTCTATGTGTCACCCCTGGAGCAGTGTGAGCGCCACTTGTAACCATGATCAGTAGACATTTAAAGCATAGGTATGTGTATAGATGTCTATGCCAAAGGGGGGGGTCGAACTCTGTCATCATTGAATAGATTCCTGGAATGAATGTTTCAAACTGCTTGCAATTCCATTTTGGCTCAAGCCTTGCACGATCTCGATCCGCCTTTGTGCATGCTTTGTGTGGTGATGACTTCAGGGCAGGAAAACGTTCCTTATACTCGGACAGATCAGTCCTTCATCGCATCAACCCTGACTCTGGTCCATACTTGTCTGGATTTGTTGCGGAAATTGCAGCCGACGATAGATAAGCTTCGGAGGTTAGAGCTGGCTGTTCATCATTTGGCACTCCACGTGAAAGGAATCAAGGCAAATCAGAAGAAGCTAGCTGCAAAATTGCGGCCAATGGTGCGTGATATCCACAAATTGAAAGCAAAACAAGGAAGGTTGTTTAGTGCCTTGAGAGCCAAGGGTGCAGTCTTCGCATGCCACAGAGGCTTGCGCGTCCTGAGAAGCGTGCACATGAACAGACGCCGCCGCTGCTAATACAATAGCCAGTGTCTGAGGGGTGCAGGAAAAAGATTGCTCCCAGGGCGAGTGTTGGCATCGCCGATGTTTTTTTTTTGCAAGATCATGTATGACATGTGGATATACAAGAATAAGAAACCATGGCTTTTTCTACAGACACGATTCTTTGAACTATCCCACTGAAGTGCTTGTGTTCGTGTGTGTTCACTGGCTCCTCCGCTCTAGGGGCTCCTGCGCTTCAAACCGCCCTGGCGGAAGCATTTCTGAGTTCTATGGATGGCATGACTGCGTTGAGGGCCCAGAACGCACTCATGAGACGGTCGAGCTGTGACCCAAATGAATTTTTGTGGCAGCCATTGAGTGTTGGACCTGAGATCCCCAACTGGTTTGTGACCCAGCTGATTTCTGGAAAAACAGCAGTCCAAGCTGGCTCCACTTGACATCCAGTCTTTACATGTCATCAATTTGTGGATGTTCATCCGAGAAAAGCGGATAGAACTCTCATTGTCATATTTACATGTTTGGTGTGCGCAGAGGGTTTCCAAACTGCCATTTCCTTCAGGTCCCTTCAAATAGCCACCTTGATGACTTCCTCGAAGGTGTGGTTCAAGGGGTAGGACCACAGTAGCAGTTCACATGCTAGCCCAATAATAACTATATAACAATAATAAAGATAAGCTTTGGCAATGATCATGATAATGATCATGATATCAAAAATAATGATTTTAATCATAATAATAACAACAGCAATAATAACAATAACAATAACAATAATAATCCTAAAATTAATAATGATAGTCATAATCATAATATTGCTGATAATAACAAGAATGCTATAACTAATAATTGACGATAATACCAATCGAAGGAAGTTTAGAAGCTAAGCTTCCGACAATATGGACAGATGGAAAAGCAAGTCTGAAGTGAGAAGAGAAGAGATGGAGAAAGTCAGAAGTGAGAAGATGCAGGTGCGCGAAAAGGTAGAAAAGTCGCGAAACACTGTGTTTTTCCAGTGTTTTGTGGCTCCGGGGTATCGCAAAGTAGGCTCGCTAAAGCGGCGGGTGCGGAGACATCTAGGCAGATGAGACATGAAAAGTTGCAAGCCGTTGTGGCGCGAAGCAGATTTGGAAGTGAAATGTACAAAGCACCTCATTGTCGGAGCACTTTTGGAAGTTGAGATGTTGAAAAAGTACACGCCGTTGTGGCGCGAAGCACATTTGGAAGTGATAATGTACAAAACACGCCACGTTCGGACCACTTTTGGAACTTGAGATGTGCAAAAAGTGCACGCCGTTGTGGCGCAAAGCAAATTTGAAAGTGAAAATGTTCAAAACACCACATGCTCGTACCACTTTTTGACGATGCAATGGCCATCCGATGTCCAAAAAGTGCACGCAGTTGTGGCGAGAAGCACATTTGGAAGTCAAAAGTGTTAAAAACTGTGGGTTTTGATCAAATTTTGAGATGTCAGTGAACTAACTGCGCTAACAACTTAATAACTTAACAATTGCACAACTGAACAACTTAACAACTTAGCAACTTAACAACTTAGTTAGTTAGTTTGTCAGTTAGTTAGTCAGTTAGTCAGTTAGGCAGTTAGTCAGTTAGACAGTTAGTCAGTTAGTCAGTTAGGCAGTGAGTCAGTTAGTCAGTGAGTCAGTTAGTCAGTTAGCCAGTTAGTCAGTTAGTGAGTTAGTCAGTTAGTCAGTTCGTCAATTAGTTCGTCAGTTAGTCAGTTCGTCAGTTCGTCAGTCAGTCAGTTAGTCAGTTAGTTAGGCAGGCAGATAGATAGACAGATAGATAGGCCGACGCTCCGACCACCTCTCGATCCATCAGTGGATCTGCTCTGCCATCCATGACTCACAACAACGAACCTCTCCTATAGGTTTCCTATCTTTGAAACTTCCGCCACCGCCTTGTGCGGTACTACTGGTAATGCAACACAACGGAATCAACTTGAGCATGGGATTGTTGGGATACAGGTTTCCCTTCTCATAGACATTCACTTTGACCTTCAAAAGCTGGAAGAGTTTCTTGAAACTTGGGGTACCCTCTGGTAAACTAACAATTTGCCACGAACAATGGACCATTTGCTTTCCATCTGAAAGACTAAGACCTTGGATGAGAACGATCTAAGGGTCCGGGGGCGTCCCGGAGCGCCGGAGCGACAGAGCCGTAGGTGAAGCTGGAGGATGCAACGTTCTTTCGACGAGCGGCTGAGAAGGCCTGCGACATGGTGAACCATCGGTCCAAATTGGGGAAAAATCACCCAGTGATTTTCCAGTGGTGATGACCATGACTCACATTGAAGTCTTGAAGCATGGTGACTGGGGATCCCCCCATGCTGTGCTCGCTGTCAGGTCGCTACAGTTCTTTCAGACTTTGACTCTTCAGGCTTCGTTCGTGGTTTCAGACTTTCAACCCCCCTATCGTTGATTTCGTACTGATACATGTTGTTTTTTTCCGTGATTTTCCATATAGTTATTCCCGAAAGGTTTAATACTTTGCTATTGAACATGACCCAGTCGAAATGACGAAAGTTTTTTCCCAGTAGCTGTAAGCATTTCCCATACTTATGTCACCGTTCACAAGTAATCGAATCCCCATTTTCCATATATTTTCCCATTTGTTTCCCATTCCATTTCCATCATGAGCTGACCCGGTATAGGAACGCCACCATGTTTCACCTCGATCTCCAGGAAGACCACAGATCTAAGACCTCCGACTTGGCCTGTTTGTCCCGTGCCTTCGCAGGTGGCTTCAGGGGAAACAAGCAGGTCCCCGGTTCATAGGTTTGTCCCATATTTACATATATAGTATATATCTACATATCTACGTATATACATATATATTGGGGGGGCCGTGAGACACCTAATCACGCCTCTTCTTTACAGGAGCCACGCGGGCCCTTTGGCCTTGTGTTTCTTACCCTCCTGCACATAGGTTTTCCACATCCATAAGCTTGTTTTCCACAAGTTTTGGGCCTTTAGAGACCCTTTTTTCCACAAAATTTGGGCCTTCAGAGACCCTCTTTTCCACACTCTTTGGGCCTTTAAAAAGAGCTTGCTTTCCACGATCCTTGGCCCTTTCGAGAGCTAGTTTCCACCAGTTTTGGAACCAAGATCTCCATGTTTCTGCTGCAGGCCTCCACGACGGTGATACGAAACATGTGCGGAAACTTGCGGAAACATGTGCGGAAACTTTGCGGAAACATGCGCGGAAACTTGCGGAAACATGTGCGGAAACTTTGCGGAAACATGCGCGGAAACTTGCGGAAACATGTGCGGAAACTTTGCGGAAACATGCGCGGACACTTGCGGAAACATGTGCGGAAACATGTGCGGAAACATGCGCGGAAACTTGCGGAAACATGTGCGGAAACATGTGCGGAAACTTTGCGGAAACATGCGCGGAAACTTTGCGGAAACTGCGCGGAAACTTTGCGGAAACATGTGCGGAAACTTGCGGAAACATGTGCGGAAACTTTGCGGAAACATATGCGGAAACATCAACTTTAGTTGTGCACTTTTTGGAACCTCTTTATGAAACCAAGATTTTCCACAAATTTCGATGTCTTTTTTCCACACTATTTTCTGCTTTAAGCTTTTTGTTTTTCCACAACTTAAGTGAACTTAAGGTTTAGTTTTTCCGCAGATAAATATATTTTTCTAAATTGTTTTATTTGTATGTGTGTATTGTTTGTATGTATGTAAGTATGTAGTTAGTTAGTTGTGAGAATATTCGGCTGAAGAAAGCTTGGGCAATCCAAGACAGAATAAACGATTGAACTGTAAGAAAAGGTTGCCCTTGAAGTGTGGAAAATTGTCCCTTTGAAGTGTGGGAAAATTGGGGCTTGTGTGAGTGTGGAATATTGCGGCTTGAAGTGTGGAAAATTGTCCCTTTGAAGTGTGGGAAAATTGGGGCTTGTGTGAGTGTGGAATATTGCGGCTTGAAGTGTGGAAAATTGTCCCTTTGAAGTGTGGGAAAATTGGGGCTTGTGTGAGTGTGGAATATTGCGGCTTGAAGTGTGGAAAATTGTCCCTTTGAAGTGTGGGAAAATTGGGGCTTGTGTGAGTGTGGAATATTGGGGCTTGAAGTGTGGAAAATTGAGGCTTGAAGTGTGGAAAATTGAGGCTTGAAGTGTGGAATATTGGGGCTTGAAGTGTGGAAAATTGAGGCTTGAAGTGTGGAAAATTGAGGCTTGAAGTGTGGAAAATTGAGGCTGGAAGTGTGGAAAACTGGGGCTTGAAGTGTGGAAAATTGAGGCTTGAAGTGTGGAAAAAGAGGCGCTTGAAGTGTGGAAAAGGCGTGCCTGATGATAGGCTTATATATGACGTACATAAAGAAATGGTCCATAAAGAATAGTTGTCCAACGGCCCCCCCAACATATATACATATATACATATATACATATATACATATATGTATACATACATACTATGACTATAGGTAAGAAGCCCACTTACGAAGTTGTTAAGCGGGATGATCCTCGTATTTAACCTCCAAATTAGCTTGATACCACTGGGCTTGTCACATTGTCACCTTTGGTAATCAAACATGGTTTGCTTGAAAGTCCTTCCGCTTTGTTCGGTGACTTTCCAATTTAAATGGCTACGTAAAAACGGGCTTTCCTATTGCAATGTTCGATTTCCGGAAGGCAATTCGGTCTCATCCACTCAGATTCGATATTCTATTTATATCCTAGTATATTCGTGAATTCTATCCCATTCAGCTTCTACGAATGCCATGAAATCAGCTTTGAATTACTCACCAAGATCCCATTAAATCCTGTGAAATTACCATAAACTCCCATTCAACCACCATTAACCCATAGAATCCATAAGATTCCACTATATAAATCGCATTCAACCACCGCGAGCTGCTATTAAACCACCACAATATAATATTTAATTGTCGAACTGGTACTGATGGTACTGCTACTGGTGTCAACTTTGGTCCATTCCCGTTGATCCTGGTGATGCTTACGGTGAAACAATCTGCGAGCCCGCTGTTAGGCGTCCAGCACGTTGGAAGCTTCAAGAGTTGCGTGTGGAGTGCCCCAAGTTGATGTCAAACGCATCGGGAAGATCAGAAGGATTGCGGACATCATGGTTATTTTTGAAAAGAAAAACATATAGACATCATTGTTTACACAACGTGTTTCTCTCTTTTTCGACGATGTCCTATAAGTTGTTTCTGTTCATGTTGCAAATCACACAGCGTCCCAAGATGCATTGCCGGTTCTTTGTCTTTTTCATTATTCTCGAACAATAGCAATCTAGGATTTGGCAACGAACGACGTATATACAAGTACAAGCATAGTTTCTCACAGTGTTGTTCATCCTTGCTGCGTTTTCGATTCTGGCCGCCTCAGTTTCCAAGCGGCTCCCAAAGGGACCGCAGCATAGTCAAACACATAAGATGGGAATGGTCTAGATCAATTTAAAGCTTCAGATTGCAACCCGAAAGCATGCAACCTTCCGGCACTGCAGTTACAAACACGTAGCCAGTTGCGAGCCATGATCGTGTTAAACTCGCACATCGGCCAGCAGCCCTTTGCAGCCGATTGGCGAGAAGGACTTCTGTGGCGAAGACCCCCCGCAGATCGTATGCCTTTTCTTCTCTGTGAACAAAATGATGGCTTTGTTGGCGGTGAACCCAGGCTACTGGACTGGTCCCGAGACCACTACAGGGCTGCGCTAGTGCCTTGGCGGGACTGAATGATTTTGGAGATGTGGAATCACGAAAAAAAGATTGTGGCACATAACCATACCAGTAGTACCGCACAAGGCGGGTGGCGGAAGTTTCAAAGTAGGAAACCTATAGGAGAGGCTCCTTGCTGTGAATGGATGGCAGAACGAACTCACTGATGGACCGATACGTGGTTGGCAGCAGCGCAGTGTACTTGTACTTGTGGTTGTAATTATAGTTGACATGTAATTGTAGTTGTAGTGGTAGTTGTATTGCAGTGCAGTGTGGTGTAGTTGTAGTGGTTGTTATTGTGCTTGTAGTTGTAGTTGTTGTTGTAGTTGTTGTGGTTGTTGTGGTAGTGGTAGTAGTGGTAGTAGTGGTAGTAGTGGTAGTAGTGATAGTAGTGGTAGTAGTGGTAGTAGTGGTAGTAGTGGCAGTCGTAGTCATAGTCGTAGTCGTAGTCGTAGTCGTTAGTAGTCGTAGTCGTAGTAGTAGTAGTAGTAGTAGTAGTCGTAGTAGTAGTAGTAGTAGTAGTAGTAGTAGTAGTAGTAGTAGTAGTAGTAGTAGTAGTAGTAGTAGTAGTAGTACTGGTAGTAGTAGTAGTAGTAGTAGTAGTAGTAGTAGTAGTCGTAGTAGTAGTAGTAGTAGTGGTACTGGTGGTAGTAGTAGTAGTAGTAGTAGTAGTAGTACTGGTAGTAGTAGTAGTAGTAGTAGTAGTAGTAGTAGTAGTACTGGTGGTGGTGGTAGTAGTAGTAGTAGGTAGTGGTAGTGGTAGTGGTAGTGGTAGTGGTAGTGGTAGTTGTTCTTGTTCTTGTTCTTGTTCTTGTTCTTGTTGTTGTTGCTGTTGCTGTTGTTGTTGCTGTTGCTGTGGTTGTGTTCGTTTCATTACTTTAATCAGTTCAGTTAGTTAACTACCACTTCAAAATAGGCTTAAAACCCTCAGTGTTTAACACTTTTGACTTGGAAATGTGCTTCGCGACACAGGGGCGTGCACTTTTTGGACATCGAATCACCATCGAATTGTCAAAAAGTGGTCCGAACCCCTGATGTTTTTAACATTTTCACTTCTAAATGTGCTTCGCACCACGACGCCGTACACTTTTTCGACACCTCAACTTCCAAAAGTGGTCCGGAGCTGGTGTGAATTGTACATTTTGACTTGGAAATGTGCTTCGCGCCACAACGCACTTTTTCCACATCTCAACTCCCAAAAGCGGTCCGAACGTGACAGTTTTTCACACTTTTTACTTCCAAATATGCTTCGCGCCACGTCGGCGTGCAATTTTTCATTTCTCATCTACCCAAGCCTACTTTTGACCCTCCGGAGCCACAAAACATTGGAAACACACAGTGTTTCGCGACTTTCCTACCTTTTCGCACACCTGCATCTTCCCTCTTGTAACTTTCTGCCTATCTGATCTTCTCTCTTCTGATTTTCACCCTGTCTGAGCTTCTTCCTGGCTGTGCTTTTCCATCTTTCGATATTATCGGAAGCTTAGCTTCTAAACTTCCTTCGAACAAGACAGCAGTTTGCAGAATGTCCCTTGCCGCAAGGTAATCATGAGACCTCATAGATTACGACAGAGCCCTCTTCTCATATCAGACCTGCCACAACTTGCACTGGAAGGGCTCTTGCAAGCTGCTCTCGCCTTGCGTGACGCTGCGCAGACTACAGCAGTCAGATTCCGGAAGCGGATAAATTCTACCATCAGGCAACTGCAGCTGGAGCTCGAGCAGCGCAACGACCCGGGCGCGCTGCGGGTTACTCATTCCTGGATGCCGCTGGAAAATCTGCTGACCTACGATTTTGTCCAGATCACAGAGACTAACTTCGTGGAGTTCGTGGCCAATGACTCTGCCGTGCAGCCGGTGCAACTGAACCCCTCGCAGTTGAATGCTTCACCGCGCCTAGTCAGCCTCATTGCTGGAGATTCTTTTCAACACATGTAATGTAATAAATCAGAACTACTCATTGCTCCGAAAGTCCTTTTGTGAAGAACTTTTGAGTACCCGTTATGTCGTTTGAAGCTTTTCGTCCCTGCATTGTGTTTTAGAAGGTGAAATATTCCTTTGTTTTCCATTCTAGGGCCATCACTATCACACATGCAGGTTCAATCTTCTTCAATTGGCCATGTTGCGGCATCTCAGAGATCTAACCAAACAACACGTACGAGAAGGAACTGTCTCTGCTGCTTTCGTAGTTCACACAGACAGAAAAGGCACTGCTTTTGCATTATCTCCTAGAGAGGATTTGCCAGCATCTTTTTACAAAGCGCATGTCGCATGGATCGCCAAAAGATCCGACCTTGAGACTTTGGGACATTGGCACGGGCCGATCGCTATGGGCCTTGGGCGATGGGTCGAGATTGAGAGCTCTTCGACTGACAACTCGAAGTTTTTGCTGAAGCCAGCGCCAGCTGCTGACACCGAGTATATCTTGGTCGTCTTGGCTAGCATTCAACAATTTCGTTGGACGTGGAGGATCTTGTCCAGGCTAGATCCCCTCGGCAGCCCTTTCTGGCAAAGCTTCCTGAGTCAATCAGCTGAAGAGGACAAGTGGAACCTTCTAGCAGCCTTGCTTTCCTATGTGTGTCTCAATCTGTCTGTCTGTCTGTCCGTCCGTCCGTCCGTCGGTCTGTCTGTCTGTCTGTCTGTCTGTCTGTCTGTCTGTCTGTCTGTCTGTCTGTCCTGCCTGCCTGCCTGCCTGCCTGCCTGCCTGCCTGCCTGCCTGCCTGCCTGCCTGCCTGCCTGCCTGCCTCTGTCTGTCTGTCTGTCTGTGTGTCTGTCTGTCTGTCTGTCTGTCAGTCAGTCAGTCAGTCAGTGTCTGTCTGTCTGTCTGTCTGTCTGTCTGCTGACATCTCATGTGTGTTTCATCCACTAATCTAGAAGCGGTCAGTAACCCAAGGTTTCATTCCTCAGATTCGTTCGATTTGCTTTGCACTTTACAGATGACAACATGTCATTCTTATCGCGCTCCACCAAGCGATGTTCTTCCCTTGCGACTTTGATCTTGTTATTACAACGTGCTTTTGGATTTGGGATTACCTTGATATTGCAGGATCCGATTGGCGGTGCACTTTGCTCGGTGCTACAAGAGTGCTTCCCGGGACAACTAGCTGCAACGACTTCATGTCTGGCAGCCAACATCGAAGCTGGTCCGGGATGCGGGAAAAGCACTGCGGCCGTCAAGGTGCTACACCTGCTGTGCCTTGACCCAAGTTTGGCTGACTCGCCTCCATGATCTTGCATCGAAGTCTTATTTAGATTTAGTGTTGGAAGAAATAGTGCCAATGACAGCATCGAAAAAGCGCATGGATCACATGTTCCATATTGTCGGAAACATTCGCCACATTCTGATGACCCGCAAAGTCGCCCTTCAGCCACGAAGTGACAAGGACAGAGCTGACGCCTGGCCGACACATCCTCGCAGCGCCTACACAGGTCTTGCGCGACGCACTGGCCAAGCGCCTCGGATCAGATTGCCTGCGCGTGGGCCAGGACGAACATCACAGCGATCTCATGTACGAGGAAACGGTAAAGCTCTTGGAAGAACAGAATCCCGCGATGGTGGCATTGATCGAGGAGTACGCAGCCTTACTGGAGACAAGGCCCGGCGTCTGCTTGCCCACTGTGGGTGGAAGACAAGTCTCGGTTTACCTCAAACTGCTGTCAAACATCATTCCGACAAACATCTGTTGTCTTTGTTATTGCTTGCTGTTCAGATTGAGCTTCTTTTTCCACATCCCGGAGAACATTCATGTGGTAACATGACCTAGAACTGTGAATTCCTGCCCCGATGTCCTTGTCAGGATGCCCTGGCAGCAATGGCTTGACGCTCTGGCGCAGCATCATCGGGCCGTATTCAGACTCTATTGCATGACACAGTGTGACTTCTCCGGCAAACGTGTCGTGGCGTGCACGCACGCATTCGTCTTGAAGCTTCTGGCAGGTGAAAGGCAGGGCAAGCTTGCTACTGCGGACTTCAAAACACTTAATTCGCTGTACCATTTGAGCAACCGTCAAAATTCCCGGATACTCAGAAATGTATTCGCTGGACATTCATTTTCAGACATTAGAAAAAACTAAGGTTAGCGATGGGACCTTTCCGCAAAGCGATACCCCGTTTTGAATTCAATAACTATACAGTAATAATATTTCATGAGTGTTGGTTTTGTCACATGCTCACGACTCGTGCTCAAGGTTGAGGCTTAAGGAAAACGAAAACCAAGGAAAAGGAAAGGAAAGGTTCAGAAGCAAATGATACTGCACCCACCTGATCCTACAACAAACCGCATCGATTTTAGCGATAGCTTTGCGATGCCTTAGCGATACCCAAGCGATACCCCAGTTCTCCCAAATGCACACGATCCTCAACTACTTGTATACACTTCTACTGCTACGTCTTCTGGTTCTGCTTCGTTTCTACTTCTGCTTCTAAAACTATTTCTCATGTTCCTATGACTTCTACTACTACTATTTCTACTGCTGCTACTATTATTTCTACTCTTTGTACTATTTCTTTGGCGTCTATTACTTCTATACTACTCTATCTGCTACTGCCACTACTGTACTGCAATTTCTACTATTTACTACTTCTACTACGACCACCACTACCACTACTATACCACAAGTTCTCCTCCTCCTCCTCCTCCCCCCCTACTACTGTAACTACTCCTTTCGCTACTCCTTTTGCTACTCCTTTTGCTATTCCTGTTACTATTCCTGTTACTACTCCTGCTATTAATCCTGTTGCGACTCCAGTTGCGATTCATGTTACGACGACGACGACCACCACCACTGCACCATGACGACGACGACGCGGCCGACAAGGACGAGGACAACGACGCGACCGACGACGACGACGACCGACCACAACGACGACGACGACGACGACTACTACTGCTACTGCTACTGCTACTGCTACTGCTACTGCTACTGCTAATGCTACTGCTACTGCTACTGCTACTGCTACTGCTACTGCTACTGCTACTACTACTACTACTACTACTACTCCTTTTCCTCTTCCTCCTGCTCCTGCTGCTGCTGATGCTACTACTTCTACTTCTACTTCAACTTCTACTTCAACTTCTACTTCTACTTCTACTTCAACTTCTACTTCAACTTCTACTTCTACTTCTACTTCACTTCAACTTCTACTTCTACTTCTACTTCTACTTCTACTTCTACTACTGCTTCTTCTGCTTCTACTACTTCTACTACTACTACTACTACTACCACTAGTACTACTACTACTACTACTACTACTACTACTACAACCACTATTACTACTACTGCTACTACTACAACCACTATTGCTACTACTGCTACTACAACCACTATTACTACTACTGCTGCCGCTGCTACTACTGCTATTGATCATTATCTATTGACTATTACCATATTTCCCGCTGCTATCGCCAGGATTGCGTGACTGGCCTTGCTATACGATTCTGATACTCCCAATAGCTTGGTCTAACTTTTTTTACTACCATCACCATTGCTAGCACTTCCAGTTCTCCCCGCAATACCTTGACAGTACCAATGCTAGTGGTACTACGAGTGTGACAAGTACTATTCATATCTCTTTTAGCTGCGTTCAGCCTTAGCCATACCCCCTGTAAATCCAAATGGTGCAATGATGGTAAAATTGCTACGAAACTGTGGTTAGCGATGAGACCTTTCCAAAATATTTTCATGAAGAAGAAGTTTGGACAGCCGCACATTTGTTGTTCAATGAGCAATATTTTGTGATCTTCTTCTCAGTCTGCAATACATGTTTGCCACTTGTCTTCTATACAAACCATGTTTGCTGAAACATTTACTGCACAGGACTACAGCAAAGCGGTTGTTTTCCAACACCGACATCGGGCTTCTCATCATCGACGAGGCCAACAGCCTGTTGGCGGAAGAGTTCATGGCAGCAAGCTCACGGTGTAAGGCCACGATCGCCATATACGATCCAGGGCAGAACATGCGACCGGTCGATTGGCGACCAGAAGCGTCAGAGACCGACAAGATCAACGCGGCAGACATGCTGGCCGTCAGCCGGGCTGCCAGGCCAGGTCGTCCCAGATAAACATGCAAAAGCATTGCTGAAGACGATAAATCTTTTCTTCAGGTGGTGCCCCTGCTGAGACACTGATCTAACATAGTGCCATTAAGATCACCATATATGTAGATCCGGCAAATATATTCTAATTTTCTACATATCACGATTTCTGCCATTTGCAGTGACATTTTTTGTACCGGCCTGAATTCTGAGTTGCTTTTTGTCAGATCTTCTAGCATTCGTTCTACGTTCTACCTAGCACCTACTCAGATATTCGGCCACTGTTCTAGCGGTCTATCTAATATCCACCCTCAGGAACATCTACAGCAGATATGTTGTAGCAGTCTAGCCTACATTCTTTTGAACATATCGTCTACCATTCTGACACCCATTCTGGCATACTCTCTGGCATATAAGATGACAGTTTTCGGTCATGCTCTTTAAATAGCATCTCCTGAAACTTTTTTTCCGATCTATTCTAGCATTCTATCTCGCATCTACTCCAAAATGCCAATGGACACACAGCCTGATATGGCTTCGGACCTTCCAACCGAAAGTATTTATCGTTTTTTTTGAGTCTCTCTTTTTTTTTATCTGACAGTCTTTTCTATCATTTTCTGTGGTTGACTTTCGGTTATATGAGTATACGACAAAATTCCCCGAATACTAAAGTAGCAAAGAGCGGACATGAACATTGCTTACCCTTACGAAAAACCTTCACAACCGATAAGGGGCCGACCCAGCACCGATACCCCTAGATTCCAACGCGTTTCCACACTACTTTGCAGTAGGGGGCTGCCTGGCGCATATTTCTAAAACAACGGCTACAGACAGTGGTATACCTTTCCTCTTAGAAAGCACCAAAAAGTTGTTTGCAGTAATTGTTCACCGATACCCCAACCGATACTAAACGATACCAGTTTTGCAGTTTTCCTCACTTGGCAAGACCATGCCCACGTACTACCACTACTCTTACTCCCACTACTCCTACTCCCATTGCTATTGCTCCTATTGCTCCTACTGCTCCTACTGCTTCTCCTGCTCCTACTCCTACTCCTTCTCCTCCTGCTACTATTACTACTATTACTACTATTACTACTACTACTACTACTACTACTCCTACTACTACGACTACGACTACGACTACTACTACTACTACTACTCCTCCTACTCCTACTCCTACTCCTACTCCTACTGCTACTGCTACTGCTACTGCTACTCTACTGCTACTGCTACTGCTACTGCTACTGCTACTGCTACTAGTACTAGTACTAGTACTACTACTACTATTGCTGCTGCTACTACTGCTTCTACCATTGTTCCTCTTACTCCTACTCCTACTCCTACTCCTCCTCAAACTCCTACTCCTTACAGTATTCCAGCCTACTCCTACTCCTACGACTACTACTTCACTACTCCTACTACTCGTTCTATTATTACTATTACTACTACTGCTACTAGTACCATCAGTACTATTACTACTACTAGGAGGGCCTCCGAAACCCTCTGGAACGTTCCGGACCCTGCCAACCTGCACTTGGCCCTGCACCAGAGCCCTCCAGTACATTCCGCAACCCTCCATAACTTTCCAAAACCTGGGCATGCAATCCGGCACAACCTTACGGAACTTTCCGTAACCTTCCTGCACCTGCGCTTGCAAGTTGCACTTTGCCCTGCACTGGAACTTCCCGGAACCTTCCGGAACCTGCGCCTGCAACCTCCACCCCTGACCCTGCACCAGACCCCTCCGGAACCTACCGGAACCTTCCGAAGCCTGTGCCTGCCACCCGCACCGGCACACTGGAGGCTATCTGGGCTGAAACCCCATGAGCTTACGCTGTTAAGGAAAAATACCTACCAGCCAACTTCCTTGAAAGCTACCTGTACAATTTCCTTTAATGATCACAGTTTGCAACCCTTGTGCTACCCAAAGTTTCAAAACATTTCAACTTCACTTACAAGATCAATTTGAAAAAATTGCGACTCAAAGACCAGATGCCTTTGCACATTGCCAAGCAGATGCTAAAAAAACAATTTGTCAATTGTCTCTGCGGGTCAATCCTCAGAGACAATCCTGTGAGGCTCTCGCTGGACACTACCTATCGCTTGGGCGCCAGTGTTGCTCGCCTCCTGGCCAACAGCATCAGCTGCTACGAGAACCTGGTGAGCTCCGCGGGTCATGATACCGCGATCCATGTTTGGCAGCTGGCTGACACAAGGCCGGGGGACACGACAGCCCGAATTATGCCATCCCATGATCTCCACTTGTCATTCCACTGAATACACAACCGGTCTTGACGCAAGCTCTCAAAATCGTGATTTTCAAAAAAGTGACTGCCGCATCGGCACGCTGTTGCGATGCCCAGTCGACCATGTTTTTTTGCGCCTTGCATAGCGACTGGCGACAAGCCTTGAACCGAAGACCTGGTGCATATTCTGTATATGTATATGTATTGTTGTATGCATATATGTATATGTATATATGTATATATGTATATATGTATATATATATATATGTATATGCATATATGTACATGTATATTCACAAACACACACACATATATATATAGTGTTATTTCTGTATTTATGGATATTTATATGTATATATATATATTGAATAATGCATATAGATATTTACATATGAATTGGTGCAATGTCTTTCACCGCCCCCATCCCATTGGTTTTGAAGATTCCATATGTGCACGCACTCTTCCGAAATGTT